CCGCAGAATTTCTGTTGCTGAAATATGTTGCAGTTTGATGTTGTGGAGAAGTTAGTCTAATGCTTGTCGATCGATTACGTCTCCACTTCTAGGATATGTTGTGGGATTGAGAAACACCACTACTAAACATACTAGTTGCAATGTAGCTGTTCAACTCTCTTTGTAGTGTCTATACTACAGCGAGGTATTATGAACAGGGTTATGTCACGCTGCGCTCGTGGAATTCAGCCTCTGCATAGCAGAACCAAGTATAGCAATTCACATACATTTGAGATTGAATACTTTAAATTTTGTTATGATCTTTTGATTTACTTATTTAACAGACCGTCATTTGTATAGCAACAAATTACTTGCACTTATGCCTTTATCATTTACGCGTTTTTGTATGAACAAGTACGGCTGAACATAGCCTACCACCTACACAAAATGTTCATTCTACTCACTTTGATTCTAGCCTTTTAAATAATCCGATGACTCATTTTCCAATGTATATGTAAATACGTTTAAATCCTGTTCAACTGCCTGCTCAACAGAGCTCACACGGGCACGCTCACTGGCTCGCTCACTCACTTGCTATTTATAACTCGCATATCAGCTTGCTTCGCGTGCCTGTGGTTTTGTTACCCGTGTGGTGAGATAACAAACGTCTTCAAGGCTGTGTATTGGTCTTTTGATTCAAACATCTTTAGACATTACGTAGTAACGGTTATCAGGACAAGCAGTGTATGAAGTTTGGGTATATAAGGGATACGGACCACCACGGAAGTGAGGAGCTCACGTCTACCACTTTATTGATGACCTCGACGACAGATATGGCGCGGCCCACACAGTCCTCGATCTTATTGGACCAAAATGGCATGGGTTGAAACTTCGGAAGCGAAAGAGTGGTGACTTTAAGAATCTTAAAGTTTTTATTTGCATAATAATGGCACGATTTATATAATTTTGTGAAAATAGTGTGGTGAATAGTAAAAATAAATATAGATACTTACATAGCACCATGAAAACTAACATACTCACAATATATCTTTAACGTCAGTTAAACAATATTGAGCCCCTAAAAGTAAACGTGAGAGAGAAAGTCAGACAGTTTATATGGTGAGAATCGTAAATAAAGATCGAATCAAAATGAAAAGGAGAAACGAGTGAACCAATGCAGAGTGATGAGACATGACTCGTGTTGAGCTAAATTAACCATGCACACGCTTACTGAAGTTAAAAAATGAGGATAATAAGCTAATGAATGTTCAAGTCAAACGACATATGATAACTGACTCAAACATAATAGACTGATTAGCTTTTGTCCAAAAGCCAGGAGCAGCCATTTGATCTCGACATATCACTACGCAGTACATCACTATCCATATAGCATTAATAACTGCCCATAGACTTATTTCAAGTGAAGAACGATGTCAGGCAAGGTTGCTTACTGACATCCTTTTTCTTCTTTATGCTGGTTGATTGGATTATGTAGACGTCATCATCTCAGGGGAAGCATGGAATACTACAGACAGCTAGAATAAAGCTGGACAATTTGGTTTTGCAGATGATATGGCTCATCTATTACTGTAAATGTATTTCTACAGTGGCCGTCCCAATTGGTTCCAATAGAGGCACTCCTGTACGCTTCTCCCAGCTCCGGGTCCCAACCAATTCAAAAAGGACAAAATTCTAGGAGAAAACGTCTCTGTATTAGTTAAAAAATGGAAATACAAAGCATTACGGATATAGTGCTTCTTCCAGGGTAAAGTTACTCCGCAGAGTATCCGACACAATAGCAAATAAGTGACGCTAAGTCCAGCGGCCACTGCGTCCGTCCAAAAATGTGGCGGTAGCCATATTATATCAAATTTAAACAACATATGTACAGTTCAGAAGCAAACACAAAAACTTCAATATAAGTACAAAATATAGAAAGAATAACAATATACAATGATAAAATCTCAAATTGGAATCAAATAAAATACCAAAAATGTCAACAGAAAAAGTCCGTCATGTCATAGCAAAAATATGTAAACATGGAGGGATTTTCCAAAACACAAAACATTCAAAAAGGATTCTACAATTACATATACAGCAACAAATGCCTATGAAAACGGGAAGTGTAGCAACAGCCTCTGCGGTGTTAAGCTTACACATACACAAGGGAAAAACCCAAGATTCTGTAAGCCTGTTAGTCAGTTACAACGTAGAACTTCGTATGTACGTACATCAATTCAGGTTACTACACACCATTAGCACAGAGGTGCAACTGTCCGTTTAAATCCAATAGTGGGGGAGATAGTAGAAGTATTAGCGGTTGTGGAGAGGATTAGGGTTCGAAGATATTATTCAAGAAGTGTAATTCAATGAGATAAAGTTAGGAAGCGAAATATAGAGATGATGACGAATTCAGATCAGAATATCATGAAATAGGACGAGTGGATGCACCTGCGCCATTGCTAACGATTTTGAGCCACGTCATTCTAGGTCTGTAACCACCGGTGGCATTCGTCTCGCTGACCCCAACCACGTAGCCAACATCTATCAAAATGATACAATCCACTTGTCAGTGACTTCATGGATTTGTGCCTTTTTTTGGTTTGGCCGACCCTAGCTTTCATCAAACATACACCCTACACCATAACCATTGCTCGCTGAGGCAGTCGGTGGTTGGGCATTCGTAACACATGTCCCAAACATCTCAACTTATAAAGTTCCAGTACTTCATCTATTGATTTGCCATCTCTACCTAGTACTCGTTTCCTAACTATGGCATCGTTTACTCGGTTGTCCCAGGACGGACAACACTCAAGTTAAAGAATCCCGATGATAGTTCGCCATCAGCCCTCACTAGATCATTGGTGTTCGAGTAGAGTGTTTGTATAAAGTTAATTTACTTCTTTGGTACACCTTCCAATGACGGACACTGCCATAGAACTTAGCGATAGACAGAGTCGAGTGCTGTCTTAAGGTCGAGAAATACTGCTATTGTGAGGGGTATGAAAGTGTGCCTTTGTTCTGGGACCCGACGTAGTGTGGATATCTGGTCCATACACACACGTTCAAGTCAAAAACCAACCTGGTTTTCTCGAGTGTGTTTTTCACTAGCTCTGGTTAGGCGTCTAAGTATAATGGAGGCTAAAAATTTAGAAACTATATTAGTTAGACTTTTTCCCCTGTGACTGTCGTAAGAAGAATCTTGTCCCTTTATATAAATTGGGACACTCGGATGGGATTGCTTCCAGTTCCCAGATTCTACCTAAGATCTCGGGCAATCTAACTGTTAAAACTGGACCATCATCTTTAAAAGTCTGATGGGTTAGCCTGTCAGGCCCTGCTGCTATCCCTCGCTTCAGATTTCCTATAACCTTTTAGACTTCATAAAGACTCGGGGGACTCACGTCGACTTGCCATTCAGGTTGACCGGAGATCGTGGGTAACTAAAGTGTGGCCGAAGGCAAGTTGGATTGGTTCCTAAAGTGTTCCGATCTCCTGGGTTAGGAATGAATAACAATATCTTCCTTGTCTGCGATAGTTTCGCCAACAGATGGATTTCTAGTACCAGTTTCCGTGATAAGGCGGTTACCTATCATCTCTGCCTTTTCCATTGATTTCATTTTCTCCAACCACCACTGTTTGCGATGATTAAGTTTTTTATCACCCTGCGCTTAAGCTGACTTCGCTATTCATCATGTTCAGAGTCAGGCAGAATGAGTTTCCAAGCATTGTTCACAAAATATATTCTTAGCTATGCTATCAATAGGTAAAACCCTAAGAGGATTTCTTGTAGTGTCTTTCCTACGTCCCATAGGTTGCAAAAAAATACGCGTACGAACTAGAGCATGGTCTGAATCTAAACATGTACCCGAGAACGGGTGACAGTCCTCTTTCGAACACTTCCATCTGTATTTGATAGCAATGTGACACGATACAACATGTAATAACCCAATCACGCTTAACGGATAAACTTTAAAGATGTGGAAAAAGTATCTAAACTTGGATAGCATCAGTGATAAACCGGGTGGGTCAGATTCAGATGAGAAAGCGCGAAGTGCCAAAGCCAGGGCAGTATTTCTACTACTGAAGAACACCTGGCACTTAAAAGAACTATCGGCCAACAGCAAAGTCACAATTTCCAATAAGAACATCAAGAAAATTCTACTATATAAAATCGAAACCTGCAAAACCCATCCATCACCTAAAAAATGAAGTTGTTTATCAACAGTTGTCTGCGAAAGATAACTCAGATCCAGTGACTAGACAAAGTCACCAACAACCTACTATTTGAGGGAACTAACCGGATGACAAATGCCGAAGAAATTAGGCAGGAGATTTGAATTGTATAGAACACACATTAGGTTGATCTCCCAACGTCTTCACTAGTGAAGCACTCCCACTGAAATGAAACAGAACAAGGAACAGAGTCCCATGAGAATCAGAAACAACGACTGAGTAGAAATGTAAGGGAAGGTGGAGAACCGAGTAGGTGGGAAAATGCCTGCAGGCAGCCTAGTCTGCGTAAGAGGTAAAAGGACTCAGTAAGTACTATGTGATTGCTCAACATAAATGGTTTTAAATCGGTGTCACTATAAGATAATTTCTGGTTCCTGAAGTCGAAGCTGTTTCAAAAAGTATTTAGTATCTCGCAGAAGTAGACTTTGGATATCTAAATAGATTGATCAATTGTTTATCTACAGTCTCCCAAGGTGGCGACGCAGCAGTTTAGACAAAGAATTCATTACGGCCCTGTCTACATATTTTAATTGATTCATAATTTTTCACTGAAAAAATTTATGGCCAGAAGGATATGCAGCATTAGCGATGTACGGTGTTTAGTGTGTGCCAAGTAATTGTTTCATGATTTGCTGACAATATGCTGACCAGAGAGTATTAATTAACTGGAATATATTTTTTATATTTGAAAATTATTGGACTTAGTTCGAAATCTTTCCAGTCTGCTGTTCGGACTAGCAAATAATACAACGCGTTTTGTTTGAATCCATCAGTTCACTGAACTTAAGCTCTCTGTTAATAAGCTACCAATATTAAAGCTACAAGGATCTTTCGTACAATAATGGATTTTGTTTACATCGCCGTAGATTTCGGTCAAACCTGTAAATGTAGTTGAATATGCAACATTTCGTGTGTAATGAAGAAGAAAAAGCCACCACATGGGGTATAAATAATGGGGTTCAACCAGTAGTGAATATGGGATTAGAAGAAACAAAAAATTTAAAATTTGATGACATTAAATATTTTGTGATACAAGGAAGAGGTAATCGATTGTATTTTATAATTTTTCGTCTTTAAAGCCGGAAAAAAGTTTATCCTAAAAGGAATATCTGGAGAATTCAAATCCGGAGAACTTAGTGCAATTATGGGACCTAGCGGAGCTGGCAAAAGTTCTCTGATGAATATTTTGGCAGGATACTGCACAAGAAATGTTATTGGTGATGTTTGCATTGGATCTTCGCCTAGAGACTTACAGCTTTTCAGGAAAATGTCATGTTACATAATGCAAGATGATTTGTTACTACCCCACTTATCCGTCCATGAAGCTATGATGTGTAGTGCCAACCTGAAGTTAAGTGAAAAAACTGACTGTGCATCTAAAAGAAAGATAGTAAGTTCCCTCGAACATTTTTGTTGGTCAGAGTGGTATTATTTGCAATATAGTCATAAGAAGTGTATCGACTTAAAAATAGCTAATACCCTGATTGCATTTTACTTTTATTTTAGTGGCAGAATTTATTCTTTTTTTGAAAGTTTATTTTCGATAATTGTATTATATATCCAGTCGCTCATAACTGAAGTGGTCTAAATAATACAGTTAACAGATAACCCAAATAAAATGGGTATATTAACTCTTATCTTCTCCTAGTCAATGGATGGGGAATCACATAGAAGTTTACTAAATATCTCGACTGAATTGAAGATTTTAATCTGGTTTTTATCAGCATTATGCAAGTTTGAAACGATTTCTTGCGTTTTATCCATGAATAACCCCAATACTTTATTAAGGTTCAACGAAATTATTAGAATTAACTGTCAGTGTCACAAGTGATAAAGAAATTATAAAAAGTCGGTAAAATTGAAAACAGTATTAAAACAAAAATTTAATTACATAGTTGGGTTTTAAATTTCATTGACACATGATTAACCGATGGACGGTATTCTCTGTAATAATCTATATTTACTTGACTTCCAACGATCCTTAATCATATATTTAATATCTTAAACTTTTATTTAATTTCACAAAAAATGAACTTTTTAAGGGTGCATTATTCTGCCTTTTAATATCGGTTGCCTCAAATATCTTGTGCTAATGAGTAGGTTTACACTCAAAACTGTATGGAAGCTACTTCACATCGACTCAGAAAGTTATTTAAAAGTCGGAATAAAGTAATTCTGCTACATTAGATGTTGTGTGAGATATGGTCTGTTAGTATTTATATAAGTAATTAACTAAGTTATATGCCAGCTTTTAAGCTGAAAATTATTTTATTTTCAAAAAGGCATGCTTACTTGATTTTAAAAACATTTGCATAAAGTAAATAAGAAATCATTATTTTGTTGGATGCTAAATCTAATAACCATAAAATGATTAACACATAAGTCATTGAAATAATCCGCAATATTGGTTGAGATGTTAAGTGCTACCAATGTCGTTATTGCACTGATCAAATAAGTGACTTAATTATGCCGATAAATCGTCCGAACTATTTGTTTTCTATGTAATTTAACTTGACATTTTTGACTGATTTTCATCAGGTTGATAATATTATAAACCTTCTTGGCCTAAGAGAAGCTGTACATACTCGAACTTCACAATTGTCTGGTGGTCAAAAGAAGAGATTGGCTATTGCTCAAGAATTGGTAAACAACCCTCCGATAATGTTTTTTGATGAGCCCACAAGGTACGTTCACGCTTTTCTATCCAGCTTCGCTTTAGGTTTAGAGTTTACTTTTCTTCATAAAGTGGTAAATGCTTCCTACTTTGGTTAGGTCGAGACTTTTACACCGAGGTGAAAGTACTAGATAAAGATGGTAAATTGGTTGGGTAGGTGGTGAGTTTTCATTATTCGAGCTGTTTGAGGCATGCATTTGGTTTACCGAACCACCAACTGCAGAGATGAATAATGATTGCTTTTGTAGATTTAGAGTGGAAATAAATTGCTGAGGGTCAGTTCAAAACGTAGCATACATCGAATAGATCATTATTTGTCAAACTCAGCCATGTGGATAGGTGTAGATTTTCCAACTGAGGTTTGCTAAGTTACAGCTACTAGACATTTGCCAACATGGTTTCACGTCGTCCACAATCGCGCAATCATATTTACTCTATCTCTTCTCATAGAAAATGGGTACCATAGTTCCATTTTGCCTTTTTCAGCTTTCCTATGTATAACCATATATATTAAGGATACTGTTGCTACAACTTTAGGACGCATCTTTAAAATTTTATATTGTTGTCCTAATGTGATGTGGTAACATAGGTCAGGGCATATATGTGCCGGATTCTACGTTGCATGCAAATGTCTAACATTGGTAACAAGCTAGGAATTATGGTGTCTAATATATATTGTGAGTATAAGAAAAAAACGAATATAAGTGATGTTAGCTTCCGCCCAATAGTTATTTATAAAAATATTCGGTTAGAAGCCTTTGACAATGTGTGAAGGTAATTAGTTAACCACAAATTACCTACTTTTTGTTGGAAAAATTATTTTCTGACTCAGTTGTTGCACATTCTAAATCAAACACATATTTTACCCATTGGTATTGTGACAGACTTATGAAGTCCGTATGATTTTTAACCAACTTTATATTTTAGGCCCAGGTATAAACTTGCATTTTTTACTAACAGTAGTGATAGTTTTTTTCTCCTTCTGAGGAAAAGTACTCTAATGATAAAGAAAACATTTTAGACTTGAGCTTGTTTATTCAAAGTTTAGATATTATGGTAACTGGGAGTAAGTGTAGTTCATATACGGCCTTATAATACCAAGACATGTTCAATTTATACTCTTGTCATCAAGTGTGGACTAGTACTGAACTCAAAAAGAACTAGGTGAACACAAACAAAAGTATTTCGAGTTTGAACTAATCACAGAATAATAACGTACGATGGAATATATTTAGTTAATAGATACCGATATTGATTATATGCAAGCTTGTCAAATTGGAAAAAAAGTGATACAAAATGCTTGAAAAACAATGTAAACTTTTGAATTAAGAATGCAATTATAAATGCAACATCCATAAAAGTCATTTATATCTGACCAATTTTTGATTTAAGGAGATAAAATTTAAGCAAAGATGTTACGTATTATGATTTAAAAGAGTTTATTTTCAGTTTAGTTTTGTATAATATAGTATCTTGCAAAGAATCCTAAGTAGAATTTCAGTTTGCTTTATTTAGTAACTTTAATGAGATGAAAACGGCTTTATGATTAGGTATGAAACGTAATGCCGTCATATTCGGCTAGCAAAAACTACTGCGAATGGGAACTCATTTTTATATGGATTTACCTAACAATCTGCACTTTAATCTATACAGGTCTATTAAAACCAGTAAAAAAAACATAAATTATTGACTTTCACCTTGTTCTGCTGTTGTATCTTCATAAAAAAAATGAATAAAAGATTGGAAGAAGATATCGTCATTTTTCTAAAAGGTAGACATAGTAATAAGAGTATAATACTACTTTTAATATCGAAGTATTTTAATTTATGTTTCAGTCGTATTAAGTCCCTAATGACTTATCTTTAACAATGCATCAATCAATCTTTTAAATTTTCATTAAAATGTATGCATAGTAAAACCTGGTCATGTCATCATTGTTCCTTTTCACAGGTAAAGCTAGCTTATGAAATTAGTGTAATTAATTGGTAATAAATATTTAAACGAAATAATTTAGTTACATATATGTGTATTCCTGAATTGATTGATTTCTTGTTAATTTTCCCTTAAATATATGATTTAGTTCAATAGATACAAAACTTGCTTTCAGTCATAGGTAAACATAAAAGAATCCAAAATTAAATATACAGGCAAATAGATACTGAAAAAAGGAGGGAATTTTCACACTAATAATTAATATCGATCCAAGTCCCCATACCTTTCACGAATAAGTAAATAAAATGAAAACACATATCGACAAAATATATATTATGTTGAAATTGAACCAGCTACAGGCATACTGACAAATAACATATGCCCACTAGGCAATAGAATGAATGAGATTTAAGGAAAGAAAATGTTGTAACCACTTTGTTGATTGTTTTGTAAGAAATTTTTTTCGTTTCTTTTTCAATAGTCATACAGATTAAATATTGTTTTGTGTACGAAACATTACTAACAACATTTTAGAACAGTACACATAGTCTTAGTCTTTTAGTTGCATAGATTAAAGCATTCACTTTTATTAGCTCTAATCATTTAAACTGAACTGCTCATTGGTCTAAAACTTAGGGAAGAACTAAAGATATATGACACATAACTTCCGATAGTCATCAGTGTATTAATGATAGTAAACTTCACATTCATTAAATAAATTAACAAACAATTAAATATCACAATGTTGTTTTACCAGACTCTATAAGCAGCAGTGTAATGAAGATATATGGCAAAAATATTCATTTTACTATACAAGCATTGCTCAGACTTGTTAAGGGATTTTTTTAAACTGACCCTACTCTTGAGATTTATTGATTTGAAATATATCTATACAACACATCTTATACTGCTGACCCACCTTTTATGAAGTAGTGTTGAATAATTAAACAAGCAAAGATTATAAAATTGCATTCGATGATGAGCAGAAAGGAGTGGATGCACAAGCATCTGTAAGTCAGACATTGTTCAACAGTGTTAGCTAAATAAAATATCATATTTGGTCGAATAAATTAAAAAAAATGTCATGTACATGTAAGCCTGTTTTCAAAGGAATGTCTTATTGACACTTTAATATAATAATCAATCAAAGTAATGTGAAAGTAATAAGTCTCAGTGATTATTTTAAAGTGAAGTTAGTTGTCTTTATTATTATATTCCTTTATTATTTTGTGATAATTTAGCCAAGGCTGTATTTTGATAACTACAATGTTATTTTCTTCTTTTATAAACAGATATACGAAGTAGTTATATGTCAAAGGAAAGATATTTAGAATTTCTATTAAACCTAAAAATTTTTATGATTATCAATTCATTTCATAGTAATTTCACATGATCACAAAAGTTATGATCGCTTAAGGTGTAAACAATTTTATTACTGTAACTAAAATAAAATATTATGATGCGTTTTAATCTAAAATAGTCTAAATAGAATTATATATTTATTTAGTAATAACTGTTTACGAAGACAATTTAAACAGTAAACGATAGCTATTACTAAGTTTATAGTTTGAACATCCAACAAGTTTCTTCGGAATTATTGACCAGCAACGTTGTATTAGCTTTATATAAACAATATAATAATTGCTCTCATTTACAGCTGCAATTTAAAGGCAAAAAAACAAACTATTGAAAAAAATTTATGATGTTTAGATGTATGAAATAATTTATTTGAATACCGTAGCCAAAATATTTCACTAGTTTTGTATCTTCTATGTTTACCTCGTTCTACATTTCTAAATTGTAAGTTATAGTTAATGAGAAGGGGAAGAAGGTATTTATGTTTCCAAAAGTTTAAAGTTTAAACAAACTTCCTCATTCATTTCATATGCTTCATGTTAATTAACTAAATTCTTGTAATTCTGTGCGTTCGACTAAAATTTTAGTAATTCATGAAACTTCTTTCATTTCATACAAATAACATTTATTTTGGTTTTCGTATTTTATATACTTCACTATTGCAATGAATAAGTGAATAATAATATAGTGAATCAGTCATTGTTAGACCACCTTCAGAAATCTGAGGTACTGGAAGGTCGTTTCATCCTAGTGTGGGGTTCTTCAGAAGTGCTCATTCACGACCTTCACATGTGAGAAAACAACTTAGGACTTTCGATCTCACTCACGAACATTGAACCTCTAGACCGATGAGCCCGCATCCAGTGGTGTTTATGTCTAACTTTGATCAATCTAAGGATTTTGACCAACCTCTACCACTGTCTTTAGTAACTGCTATCTACAGCCAACAGCACTGAACTCCAATGTTAATGGCTTCACGAAGCTAGGCGAGATATCCGCTTATTAATCAAAGGACGAGTGTACTGTGCAGCAGTTCACTCTGTCCTACTATACGGATGCGAAACATGGCCGTTAAGAGTAGAGGACTTCCGTAGGTTACTAGTTTTCGATCATAGGTGTATCCAAAGCATTGCTCGTGTATCCTGGGTCGACCAAGTAAGCAATGCTATCGTTAGGATACGAGTTCTAGATAGAGATGGAAAATCAATAGATGAAGTAGTGAAACTTCATCAGTTGAGGTGGTTGGGACATGTGTTACGTATGCCTAACCATCGACTGCCGCGACGAGCTATGTTTTGCAATGCAGAAGTAGGTTTGAAGAAAGCTAGGGGTGGCCAAACAAAAACATGGCAGAAATCGATGAAGTCACAGACAAGTGGACTGAGTCATGTTGGTAGATGTAGGCTACATGGTTGGGGTCCGCGAGTCGATAGTCATCAATGGTTAGAGACCTTGAACGAAATGGCTCAGAATCGTTTGCAATGGCACAGATGCATCCACTCTTTGTGTGCTTTTTAATTCTAACCTGAATTCCTCATAATCTCTATCTTTATCCTTCTAAATTAATCTCACTGAATTATACTTCTGGAATCATATCTTCGCTCCCCAATCTTCTCCATTGCTGCTAATAATGCCACTATCGCTTTCACCCTTGGATTTGAACTGACAGTTGCGTCTCTGTGCTGATGTGGTATGGCAACCTGAACTGATGTACTTACGTACGAAGTTCTGCGTTGTATCTGTCTGTCTGTCTGTCACGAAGCTAGTCATTGTTTTACACTGAAATCGTGAACCAATAACTGTTAGATCACTATGACTGATTCACGATTTCAGTGTAAAACAACAGTCTCCATAACTCCATCATGAAAAAACAACGTAGTAGTTTGTTATCTGTAATTTTATACTTGATTAGTCATTTACTCTCTGCTAAGTAAATCATGTTCATGTCATCAATTTTAAGTGATTATTTTACTTGTATAAAAATATGAATGCTTTATTGTATAAATTCATATTCACATTAACAGTTAATAGAACAGTTATTGATTCGTCTTCAAGACAAATCTATTTTCAGTTAGGATGAGTTAGCTGATCATTAGCCATTTCGAATTATTAACTTAATCATTGCAAATCATTTCATTAGTTTATCAATTAACCTGAGTAATTGCAACAGCAAACTAATTGAAATATATTTCTTTCTATATTTAGTCTTTTCTTTTTTTTAAAAAAAAATGTTTAACAAATATTTAGTGCTTTATTTTTTTTTAAAAAAACTAAGTAAATTACATTCATAAAATGGACTGTTTAATTTTTTTTCCCTATTCAAAAAATGGTTTTGAAATTTTATATAATTTTGAAACATAATCCTAATCTTCTATAAATATATTTACATATATGTACATAGATAGATAAAGATACAGATATAAGCTGTTGTCAAGACTACATACAGTAAATTGCAATTGATAATGTACAATAAACTGTATGATTAAAAATAATATTATACACTTTCAATGATGAAAATTAGTTTTTACAATGTCGTCGTCGTATGCAATGTTTCATTGAAGATTATGACGATAATTAAGAAAAAATATGAATCTAAAAGTTTTAACATTTTTTTACAGTTTAACAGTCGCCTATGAAAATGTAAAAAAAATGTATAGTGAAATAATAACTTATTGTAGGAATAATTTGAAGTAATAAGGAAAATAGTTTAATACAGTTTTGATAGAATTATTATCATCCCCTTAACTAACCTTACATAGATTATCGAGTTGATATAATAAAACATTCTGGTCAGAAAAAGCTTAGATCCAACAATAATTGATCATGACTATGATTGAGTACAGTGCTTGTTCACATTTATGTAAGCCTGTTTGGTTTAGCTTAATGGATAGATCGAATCAGTAAACTTAAATAAACACTTTGTATAGATTCAGAAATTTCTCTTTGAATACACTTCGTTTACCAAAGTTATGTATATGCACCGTTTGACGATACTTAAATGGAGTCACTACTGAGATATTTCATCTTTAGATGGTGTGTTGGAAGATTTATTTAGTTTCAAACACTATTTCTTGAAACGAAATCATATTCAAAGAAAGCACTATGGGAAACTTGAAAATTCTCATAGTTATCCAGAAGCTCGCAGATGATAACACAACCGTTCAACCTTTGGTATATTCTGAATAATTAATTGATCATATTTATGAATATGCGGAGAAATAGTGTTAAAAAATTCTTACACAATAAATAAATAATCTTTTCTTTATAAGCTGAACAATAATAGTACGTTGAGGAAATATGAAACCAAAGCTCAACAAGTTTATCATTTTATTACTTGACGGTTAAAATTGAATTTCTTCTACAAATCATTGCAATTTCATTTTGTTTTCGGTATAGATAGAGAGATTTGGATGAGTGATAGGCATTAGAAAATCACACTAAGTAATACATTATATTATAATATTAAAAAGAAATGAGATTGATAAATGTTAAACATTTTTTTAAGGCTCACTTCATTGTAATTTATTTACATGATAATTGAGATATTTCTGAATATATTCCTTTTGTTGATCATTGTTATCACTCCACTATTGATCAGCAATCAAATAAATAATTATTATTGTTAAACAAAAATATTGTCTCACTCAAACCATCTATTTTTTTTCTCAGTGGTTTAGATAGTGCTTCATGTTTTCACTGCATCTCATTGTTACGTCGTTTGGCACGTGGTGGTCGAACCATAATTTGTACAATACATCAACCAAGTGCAAAAATATTTGAGCTATTCGATCATGTAAGTTTTAAAGTTTGTTGTTAACATGTTTGGTTACTTTCTAGAAAGGTTGAAAAAATGTAAATATAATTTAAATTTAGTTTAATTTCATTCCATAACACAGATTATACAACAGTACACCTCAATATCGGAACAACCAATGTTTTGAAGTAAATTTACTACCCAATAAACTGAATTCGTCAATAATCAGTGATACCTAGTATCAACTGATATCTGATAGAAGAGTTCTTGAAGTTGTTGGCATTCTATGGCAGTACAATAATATTTACTTTCTATTAGATGTTTTGTTTTGTCAAAAAGCGACTTCCATCAGTTAGAACATTCAGAAATAGAAATTATTATTTATTAAGACATTATAAATTAATCATTTCTAATGGTTAAATCAAGTCTTTGTAGTTATACTAATTAATAATTAATAGTAATTAATAACAGGATTAAATCTGATCAAGTTTCGGGATTTCTAGTTAATTTTAATGATGAAGTTTATAATTTGTTAACAAATACTTTCAAAATGTGTTCTCAGTGAATAAATTCAAATAAAAATATTAAAGTTGTGGAGTTGTACATTTTAATATTTATAATATGAACAGTTGTGTACAATATTAGGCTAATTACCATTTAGGTAAATGCACATTGTCTAAATAATTATCTTCAGATTAAAATAGAACATTTTTCCCCACATTTAAGCAATAGAATCGATGATATTGTTAAATATTTAGCTTACATTTAAAATCCTTTCATTTAGCTGCTTGTTTTTTGAACCACAATTGTTATGTTATAGTTTCTGATCAATGTCGACGAACGGGTTAAATTCTACCTAATCAGCCATCTTAATTATTATTTTCAAATTAATAAAATAATCATTCACATAAGGATAATTTATTTCAAATACTCGTAAAAGAACTTGACCATTTAAGAAAACATTAAATAATTCTTGTTTAAGTGATATTATTTATGTGGATTTCAATTACTTATCTGAATTTTCCATAATGTCCAATAAATTCTCAATTCCTAATACATTTCCCCTCATTAGTGTTTATATATAACCGAAACCCATCAATTATTATTTTCCCAAATTTCTTCATATTCAAAATAACATTTAAAACTGAGGTGAATAGCGAATGGAAATGGGAACGAATAAGCCTTTAAATTATGGGAAATTATTAAAGTGTCGCCGTAGTTTTCTTGTCCACATTTAGATGTATCAGATATGTCATTATTACGATATTCTTCATTTGTGAACTCTACAAGTTTCTGACAGTAGAATTTTTTCAATTGTACTATATCAATAAAAGCACCAAGAGAATTACATTCATGAATAATTTGCTACTCTTTATTGAACTAAAAATCGAGTAGAATATTTTGTTTTTGAAATGATCACCTTACCGTTGAAACTGATTCAATCATTCTCATAATCGTTATATCATAGTAAATTAAATGAAAGTCACATGTGTTTGTTTTTTGTTAACCTAAAATCTACATCCTATATTATCTCATCTTGTTGATAATTATAATAAGTGATATTTTGTTTGATAATGTGACTTGATCAAAATGAGCTGAAAAACTAATGTCGATTTATAGAACAGTAATTGTTATCATTAACATTTCTATCGGTCACTGGTGTGATTAGATAGTTCTTAAATGAATATCAAGTTTAGAAGACGAATGATATACAACGATAAGTGATACAACATTGACAGTGAACTTACTTTTAATTAAATAGTTAGACGTATGCCTTTGAAATCATTGAATTTCGATCTCGTACTAGGTGTAATTCGTTCAGAAAAAGGGTTGTTGTTTACTTATCGATTGCCTTGATACATTTACTGTACTGAAGGTACAGTGATGAGTAACCACTTCAGTAATTAGGGAAAGACGACAGATAATCAAGTCATAAAACGAGTATGTGTTTACACTAATCGAAAACATAATTCTGTAACTAAAATGAACAGACGTTACTATGGAAATCATCTATCACTAATGCAGATTTAATCTCTAATCTTATTTTTCTCCATCTGAATGATCATACATGTTCTAAAGGTTTAACATGACAGTCGTAAATATAAAGTGAGTTAATGTTGTCTCTTCTATTACATTCTAGTATCTAGTAACGTTTGATAACTAATCATCCACTGCACTTCCTAATATATCTCTGAGTGGAATCTAATGAACTCAGTCCCAATTTAAAAGAGCTTCTGTAAGACCCAAGAAAATTGGTGATTTAGTCACAAAGTTAAAGACTCTCGTTTTATTCGCCACCTGATACTTCATTACATCCTATTTCTTCATGAAGATATAGTTTTAACACCATAGAAAGTGATATAAGGGATTCAAAAAAATCCATTTATAGTATGTTAAGTATGATTTAATTACTTCTAGATATTAAAGGCCATTTAATGCCTTTTATGCATTTAAATCGACGGTTAATATCATTTTAACATTGAAACTCATTTACATGCTCTTCTTATCTCCTTGATGCAATAATACTTTGCATCTTAATACGTAACTTGAAAAAAAATATCTATCTATCTAACTCACAATTCCAAATTTCTTCATGAATGTTCCCATTCAAATAACTGATTACATTAGCAACAAATAAAAATAACAACATTAAAATTCATAAGAAAATAGAAATAAACGCCAAACTACAAAATTCTACTCAAACTATCCTATGATATATACTGGAAAAATCAATAGACTTCCTAGTCAACTAATCAATTATACAACTATTTTATTCTCATTTTGTTTGATATTATTCATTGGTTTATTTTATGAATGTATATACGTTTAGTATTCCGTTATCCTACTAGTTGACCAAGAAATAATCAATAGTAAAAAGCACAAATAAACAGAAAAAAAGCTTAGGAGAAGAATAGTAGCAAAGAAAAAACATGGGAAAAAGAACACATGAAAGAATTGTACGGTTTTATAGTAACTTTTCTGTTTGAAGTTAACCTACTCTATTGATTTTCGTTTTCCTGTTATATATGTAAACAATTGATTCGCTTTAACTGTCCAAAGTGTTGCTGAAAACAAAACAGCAGTGTTGGATTTGAAAAAATTTGATTCTAATTTGAATATTTTGTGATATTTGTCTACTGTTTTAATCACCTAAGTATCTCAAGCGGGCATTTCAATGAGTAGCATTTTATTTCCAAAAATGTATCAGTATGGTCTCTTAGTTAGAAAATGAATAAAATTATTCATTAGTGTAGTTTAAAACATAAACTGATATTAGCTAAACTATAAAAATCAGGAGGCCTTTAATGATAACTTCGTTCTATTATAAGTATCCTTTAGCAGCGCGTAAAGACGATATCGAACGGTAAACCTTCAAAGTCTCAAGGTAGGTAAGAAGTAACTCTAAAGGAAACTGAAATAATAACAGCTCATCAAATAACACTCCAATGCATTTCGTCAACTTACTTAATGACTCATTTATACTACATTCTTTTTATTAACAGTTATACTTCCTGACTGATGGACATTGTATCTATAGAGGACCTGTTTCATGTTTAGTTCCCTATCTGGCATCACAAGATCTAATCTGTCCATCTTATCATAATCCTGCTGATTATTGTAAGTTTTTACGATTTTTTTTGATAATGAAATGCAAACCTCTGCATTTGGTATATATATTTTCAATAAAATTTTGTTAACCAACGAATCAGTCAACTATTAAACACTCTTAAATTAATGTTACCAATCTATAATTTTCAACTGTTTGATTGACAAAACCAATCTATCTCAGGTAATTATTACCCCAAAAAAATGCTATTGGATATTATGCTTGGTTATCATATTTAGAACAATCCTAATTAAATAATAATTACAATGAACTATGATTTATTAAGCTGCGCTAATTGTCCTACAATATTAAAACTGTTTAGAACAAAAAGTTTGAGAAAATTAGGGATGAAATAAAATTTATCAATGAATTTGTTTGATAATAATGATAATATACACAGATTGGTTCTGAAACTGTCAACTATATAAATGGAATTTTGAACATTAATTATGTTCAGATAAATGATGTCTAATTAATGAATGCTAAAATTTTCATAAAGATAATATCAATGGAATTGTTTACAAGCATAAATATATTATATTCTACTTTTAAACAACCTTATATTCTCTGTTAACGAATGCTATTCAGACAAAAAATGTTTAGCATCATGCATGCTATTCGATAATTTGACGTTCACTGTCAAAATTTTCATTCATTACTAATGAATAGAATAATGAAGAGGAAAAAGTAATGAATGATTTCAATATTTAGATGCAATTTTATGGTATTTTGCCATGGAATTCAGGTCATATATATAATGCCGGTTCAAACTCGTTTCGTAAATTCGGCTTCACAGCTTCCTAGCTTAACTTGCTTGAATCGACAAAAGCATCATTATTCATTGGGCTGTTAACTCACTTTTTTTAATATTTGTCATCAGTACTATCATAGGTATTAACATATTTCTGCATTAAGTGATCTATGTTAATTCACTTGATCGTGAATCCTTTGTATATACATATAAAGGAAGAAACTTCCGAAAAACGATCAATTAAACTTTATTTCTATGAACTCATTGAGTAATTAAATGTTGTTAATATGCAACAATCGATTTCACACAATTTATTCTCTATTAACATTATGTAACAGTTATGGAAGTGGCTTGTGGTGAATATGGTGATAATTATATGCGTTTAGCAATGTCTGCACGTTGTGGAACACTAGATCAAATTGTAAATCATTTAAAAAAGAAAACTATTTCTCATGGCACAACAATGATTCAGACAGATGATGAATGTCCAATAGATAATAGTCAGATCATTTCTGACATTAATCCCTCCAAGGAACTTGGCTCTACATCATCGTTATCACTTTGTTCACCGATTATGAAACATGATAGCAGAAGAAAAAGTGTTAAAAAACTTGTAAATTGTGTAAGTTAACAAGTTAAAATATAAGTTATCTTTGTGAAAAATATATTTTTGAAATTCTATTAGATTTTTTTTAAATATATTCACTAAAATTTCTTTTATTCACAAAATTATTGTCAACTAGAAATATTTGGTAGGTGGATAATTGATATTTATCTCAGTAAGTGTTGGTGCCAAGTTTTGAAATAACTAGGATATGTGGAAAAAACACAAGTCCATAGGATTCTGTTGCGCTAATTAAATGGTAATTTACTTAGTGGAAGGCCTAAATAGTATCGAGTTGCATTTAAAGTCATACGACCTCAACTCATATGATTTATAAGGAATATTATACTTCACATCAATAATTTTGCAGAATACTAGTGGGATAACATTATTTTATCATAACGTGAATGTCTATCCCAGTTGATTCTCTTATACAGTTTATACTTAATTAGGGATTCAGTCACATCAGTTAACAGTAAACTGATTTATCTTCAATTGAATAAATGAATTTGTAGCTAGTCGAAAAATCCAAATAGTGTGTTTTGACCTATTTAAGAAGGTTCAGCTGGAAGTATCATTGTTGCGATGTTGATGTTCACAAGCTCAGTTTGTAATCCACTGAGCTATTGAGTCCTGATGTCCACTCACTTATGTAGTGCATATCATATTTGTGCAATTTTAGAAACGATTCAAATTATTCCAGCATTAACATCAACACTAAGGTGCATATGTATACAGTCAATGCGCCCCAATATGGGATAAAACGCACGCTCTGAATTCCATTGTTATCTACAATCTGTCTATTTTATGAAATAAAATGTGTGAAAATGGTTTTATCAAAACAATTTATACAGAATGTACATATTTCAATGAAGACTGATAAAAACCTCAGTTACTATTATCAAGAACAGGATCATTAGAACGTTCTCTAATGATGATATAGGGCTTTTTATATGCATCATTTTGATGAATCAAACATGGATTCAACAATACCTTAGCATCAACTTGGCGTATATTTAAAAGATATTACATACGGTATTCAAAGTGTAAAAATCAGCACCTTATTTAAATATGTAAATGAGATGTTTTTAACGTTGTTTATTTCATATACTCATTTTATTATTGTTATCTTTAAAAATTTAAGCAAGAATCAACATCACGAATAGAAATGTCCGTACTTCTACCTCATCTTAATGGTCCTATACATACTATAGATCAAGGTTTAAACAGTACAGATTGTATAAAAGTGAGTTGTGTTTATATTTCGGAAAAAATCTTTACTATGTGATTATATAATGCCCTAACGATGATCTATTTAAAATTTGGTCTTTCAAAATGAAGTATAATTAAGATTTGTAATATATCTGTTTAACAATTCCTTGCATAAACTCTGGTACGAAATAACACTTTTAGCTACATACACGTGTATAACAAACAACGAGTAAATTTACTAAGCTTTGATACTGCTGAAACTTTTGAACTTATTGTTAAGAACTTTGTCTTTTCAAACAATGAGTCCGTCAGTCCGTTCAAGAATAATCTTTGACAAAAATAGGATGATAAACACTTATCTTATAGGAACTTAAATGTTCTTGGCCATCTTGAGATGGGATTGCATTTATTTTTTTGACGTACTTAATAATGATTCAGTCAGAATTGTTATCCATAATTACTGACATGTTTTCTTTAAAATGAAAAAAAACAACTAGTTTTTCATGACTTCAAATGATTTACCAGTTCACATCAAAATATAATTTGAACATGTTTTCAGTTTTTTTTCTCTAATAAAATGATCATCCCTCAACTGTAATTTTATAAATATATTTTTAAAAAAATAAAAGGTGAATTCAGAAAAAAAGGGATAATAGACTTTTACCTAACCTCAAATCTAATGATTTTAGTTTCGAAAAGGTTATATTCCACTAGTTCAAACTGTAAGCAAAGTAAAATGTCAGTGTCATCATTTTATTTTCTTGATAAGTATTTTACAGATTCTATGTAAAATAGAACACATTTATACATGCTTTCATTTCACTGACAATAAGTTACACAGAAACAAATCAGTCAACTGTTAATTGAATGTTTAAAACATAGCAGTAAATGAAAAAAATACACTGAAAATGTTATCCAACATTAAAAATAGAAGTTTGTTTTTGTTAAAAAAAGCTTTCATAAACCAAATGTGAATGTCTTTTGTGCAACATAAAAGTTCAAAATACTTCAACATAATTGTTGTTCAAATAACTATTGTTAAGTTTTTTCGGGCAGAATTCTGGAGGTTTGTGTTTTTACTCATTTGAAATCATCAATCAATCATTGTTAGACCACCATTAGAAACCTGGAATCACTGGATGGCCGTTTCGTCCTGGAATGGAACTTATCAGTAGTGCGCATCTACGACTCCTACACATCGCAGGGCTCGAACCCAGAACCAGACAGACAGACAGATACAACGCAGAACTTCGTACGTACGTACATCAGTTCAGGTTGCCATGCCCCATCAGCACAGAGACGCAACTGTCACTTCAAATCCAAGAGTGACAGCAATAATAGAAGTATTAGCAGTAATGGAGATTAGGGAGCGTTGATATGATTCGAGAAGTATAATTCGGTAAGATAAATTTAGGAGGAGAAAGATGGAGATGATGAGGAATTCAGAAGGTTAGAATTAAAAAGCACACAAAGAGTGGATGCACCTGCGCCATTGCAAACGATTCTGAGCCATGTCGTTCAAGGTCTCTAACCATTGGTGACTTTCGTCTCGCGGACCCCAACCTGGTAGCCTATATCTACCAACATGACTCAGTCCACTTGTCAATGACTTCATAGATTTGTGCCGTGTTTTGGTCTGGCCGTCCCTAACTTTCTTTCAACCTACTCCGACACCACAAAACATAGCTCGTCGGGGTAGTCAGTGGTTAGGCATTCGTAACACATGTCCCAACCACCTCAACTGATGAAGTTTCAATGCTTCATTGAAACGTTTAGTCTTCCGCGCGAATGCATAACCTATGGACCCCTGAGCCGGCATCCAACGGTGTTAATGTCTAACTCTGATCAATGGTGGTCTAACAATGATTGATTGATGATTTCAATACGCAAAATAATCACTAATCTTCATAACTCCAATTAAAAAATTTAATATTTACTTAATATTGTATGAACCGATATTTTATGATAAGAACCACTGAATTTCTCATTATTCATTGGTAAACGTTATTTTCACATTGATTAATCACATTTAAAATGTATTTTAAAGTCTTTTCAACGTAAATCATATTTCGCTTAGTCATAATTTTTTAATTAATTTATTTCATTTCCATAAAATTGGTAATGTTTTTTAAATGTTTGACTGAAAATGACATTCCTTTTAAAAATGATTAAGCATTTAAGCACAAAAAACAAACAAACTAACTAACTAATAATTATTAAGTTTAAAGAAATGCCTCCTTTTAGTATGAGAGAGAAAAAAACACAATTATAATCTATCGATTTTTACGGTTATTTCCTACTACTTTTCATTCTCTCTTTTTATAAAATATATAGGCAAATGTTTCAATGTTCCAATGTGAAATAAACAATGAAACATTTCAATAGAGAAAGGAAGTTTGCTTAAATGGAGAAATGAATTATGACTCTTATTAATTAGTATAAGATTTTTATCTCAAATTATCCATGAATGAAATAAGTGAAGTAATGAATGAATAATAATGAATATCATGAGCATTATAAGTTGATTCTATTTGAATGTTCAATGTCTGTATGGCAGTTACATTATTATATATACTACTTTCATAAATAGATTCTGTAGGTAGATATAACATTTGATTTTATGCACATGTTTCATTATGGAAACACGTTGGTATTTTAATGGAGTGTTTGTCAACTTGTATAAATAAACTAATCAACATATATCTAAATATATTCAATAACTAAATATAAATAATAATTTATAAATCGTTTACTATTGGTCAGGACTAAGTATGGATGCCTATTTAAAATGTTATTGATGATACATAGCGGAGTAAAGTAAGGCAAATCTTAAATACGCAGTTGAAATTCCTAATGAGGAGGAGGAAGTTTAACTTCTAATTCAGTTGAATTTGTAAATATTATACAGCAGCTAAATACAACTAAAGCATCCATAAAGAATGTAACTGCTAAACCTGGTTCTGATCTCTGTAGAATCTTTCTTACGATAGTTTGTACGATAAACAGTTTAAACTAGCCCTGTGCTTTTAAACTGACTCATGGGGACAAAAATAAATTTTTAACACCTTTTCACACAACTGTAATATTCAATGTTGTAATATAGTATGAATAAAATATTTCAATAATTGTTTCGTTGTTTCATTTATGCGTAATGTATTACGTATATATTCTATGTATTAATTGATACATCCAAAGTGTTGCAAAATGATTATTTATTACTAAGAAAGACTTAATCTGTTTATTATTCTATTATCTAGAACATTACTTCCTATCGATCAAAAATCACTCACTCTCTCTCTCTATTGTTATGTTACAGAAACAAATAAATGTTTATTATTATTATTGTCATTATTATTATTATTATTAATATCCATCAGTGAACGAATATTTTTTAGAAAATAATAGCTGGATAAGAATTGACTTTTCGTAACATAGAAAATTATGTATGCACAATTATATACATACATATATTGGCCTTTACAGTCAGCCCATTGTTATCTGACTCCAGACATTATTCCATTATCGAAAAACTTTTTCTTTATCGTGAACGTCTGTTTGCTCTTTTACTGGCTTTGTTATAGATTATGCTGAAAACATTACCACTGATTGTCTAGTAGAGAATATCATTGATGGAGCTACGTAGTTTAAACAATTCTTCCAACTATATTGATACGGTAACAGATATTTGTATGAATAAAACTATTTCAAAAAAAGACATGTCATAAGAAAACAGGGAATAGCAATTGTAAATGACTCCTACTTCAACGAGTTAAAACTCTACCCACTATGTCAAAATCAACACAGATATATATGCAATGTACTACAGTTACTACATTTTTTAAAACTGTTTGTTCACCTTGAATTGTCTTGTTTTTAAAAATATTCGACACATTCACAAAGTTTCATCGTAATGACAAGATTGGCCAAGTCTTATTTACGACTACAAAATCAGTATCAAAGAATAACATACATAGCAAATAAATTGTAATATCATTTTCGTTTTACAGTTAGTAAAAAAAAGATATGCCTACTTTTATTTTTAGTATGATGATCCCAGTCGAGAATTCGCTGCAAACCAGATAACTCAATTTCGGGTCCTATTCGTAAGAAATATCATTTCTATTATGCGTGATTCGGTAAGTTATATAATTAACACCAGTTTGTCACAATACTGACAGTGTTATCAAACAAAATGCTTTGCCTTTGAGAATATATTTACATGTATCATTCGTTGTTGTAATAATGGCGTTACTATTGATAACGACATGTGTACTTCATTGAATTAATATCTAACATTAAGGCTATCAATGGTTCATTTTACCAGCTGATAGATAGATAGATAGATCAGAATTATTTCAACATTTCTATTAACTGCTAACTGAACATAAGAATAGAAGAGCAACGATTAAGTAATCATTACTCTAAACTCTATTTCTTATTATGTTTTGTTCCCAATATAGAAATACTTTATCATTAATGTTGATTTCAATAACTTACTATGTATGATTGTTGGTGTCTAGACTGAATAACCAAGAATATTTATACAAGATGTAAAATACAATCGCCTAACTGTTTTAAGAAACATTGTATAAAATATTTGATCAACTTTTTATGGTACGGTATATGTGCGATCGAGAAACATTCACTCTTTCTAACTTTGAAACGTTGATGGAATAAAGTCTTTAATAGTTAACACCGCTTTGACATTACCGTAGATATCAGTTTTCATACATATGAGAATTACTTAGGTAATACCAACATCGCAGTTGGTACCACTAGGCTTTCAAGTTTTATTTAGGTGTATATGTAGTCAAGATCATGTTTATTCATCATAGTTCTGACTGACTGTTTTCGAAGTACGTCTACTGACCGCAATGGAAAGGGTAAGCACCACTTATCGCTTGCTCTTTTCAAGCATTAAGAATGACAGTAACTGTAACTCGGACATGTGACCTATCAATAAGAGCACGTGACTGTCAATTTCTTGATTGCTGCTGTGGGCAACCACCAAGCCATTAAATTTTTAGTACATGGCAATTTTCCTCAGTCTTCATGAAACACAAGAAGTCTAAATAAAATATGTTAGGAACATAGACTTTCTGACCGTAGAGTACGATTTATAAAAGCATTAAAAAAATGTAAACTGACCAGAGAAAAATTACTGCACAAGTAAACCAAACATAATATGTGGATAAAATTTGAAGAATAATAAACAAGAAAATAGTATGTTCACTCCAGTGGGATCTAGCGCCTTGTATACGTGTTCTGCAATGATTGATGGATTGAACTTACTTTATGTAGTTTTATATGAGGTCATTTTATCCAAACACTCAATAATCCTATTTCATAAATGCTCAATAATGAACAGGATCAAACTTAACTATGCTTTATTTTGAAACTAAAAAACTGTCATCTAAATTCTGAATCCAAATCCAATAGGTTGTCGCTCCGATTTCTATAGATTCATGATATGCTGACTGAACTCAGATATATTATCTTTACCTATCACTTTACATTTTTCAACTGCTATTCATTTGAAAACAGCAGAAAATAGAAGGCTAGCCTTTATTTATTTATACATTGATACTGTACATAAAATTAAATGACTACTAACACAATAGTGTAGTTTTTTAGTTGAAAATTTACTGCAGATCGTAGAGAATATGAAGGGAAGTTTGCAGTCATTGAAAAATCTACAAAAGTATTCAATGTTTTATTGTTCTGAAAAGAAAATCAAATTTATATAGTTCTATCATTTGCATGTGAATGATAATAAGTATTATAAATATGATTTTTCGAGACATTGAATTATTAATGAAAACAGATTACATTTAAGAAGATAACTAAAAGCGTTGATGAATTTAAAATGATAAGTTCAGTGAAGAAATATTTCCCTGCACTTACATATAAGTTTTACGATGGGAAAGAAAGTTGACTGCAATTAGATAATAATTGCGAGTAAATTTGAGTGTAATAACCAGTTAGAGACAACGTTGAAAAAGTCAAAACTATGGTAAACTTTCATAATCAGTTAATTAATACAATTAGTTACATAAGAGTAGAAATAAGAATTGAAGTTGGACATATGTCTAAATGTTTTTTTGTTATCTTTGAAGTTAATCATAAATAATTAATAGGACTAGTTCAATGAAGATTAGACAATGTGATTATGAAACAGGTTACGTAAATTTAGAATTAGAAAATTTTATAAAAATAGAAAGAAAAGTTTGGAAGCTTGTAATAATATTTAAAGTAGAAGGCTGTGTAAAATTTTTTCTGTGTACAAGGGTTCAGTTTTTCTACATGTATTCCCTTGGTATCTGCTGCATTTTATAGTCAAATTCCGGAACCATGAGGTGAATCCTGTTGGAGTAAATGAGTAACTTCAAATGTTGAAGTTTTATCTACACAACTAAATACTTCAAGATAGAACTTCTTATTATTTTCTAATGTCTACTGGTCAACCATCAGGGGTGATGTCCAGAGATAAAATGATGTATTTGTTTAGTTGAGACCCCTATATAATTAGCTCTGCAAGACTAGTTAAAATGATAAATACACATTGAGGCAGTTAAACTAGGCAATCAACCCTTATTTCATTAACTTACTATTGGCCGTAGAATCCATAGAATTACTATTTCGGGTCTGTATCATGTATAAACTGTAATTTCAGGGTTTTTGGTATCGTTGATCATTGACGATTCCATCGTGAAATCTGGTGTAATAAAAAAATGGGAAGCAACAGCCTGTAAACCTTAACCCCAAATATATGTTTTGTGAAAAACACTATTTGTTTGAATTATATGAAAATATCATACCTCACGAAGTCATGACATGAAATCACTTATTCATCAAAGGATTCTACTCAAAATGCTACTATCTGTATATATCTATTTATCAATACGGAGGTAATTATATATTCAGGTAAAGAGTAAGATTATGAGTTCTTATCATTACACCGAATAGGTAACTTTGTTACTCAGGTCAATAAGCTTTATAAGGACTTATAAACTTCTGAAAATATTATGGTAATTACGATAAGCGTATTGGCTCTAAGCACGATTACTCTAAACTATCAAACCAAATATTCTATAATATGACAGAATCAAATGAATTCCACCTCTATTTCGAAATCTTTAATAAATTATTAATTGCTCTAAATACTATTAAAAGCACTTACCTAGAGGAATTATCTCAATCTAAAGTTATGAAAGCTTTAAAACTAGCGATAAGAAAAAGAACCAATTGTCACCAATTAATAAATTAGCAACGGGATGAAGTAATCTTATTACGTAACCAAAATTGTCAGTTACCAAATTGTTAGTTTTCATTATATCGAAACTTATTATAGGCATAAAGTATCCGAATTTCTATTTATAAAGAATTTATTGCGTACAATTCACGAAAATTCAGCTTAACAAAGATAAAAATTGTAAAATATCTTATTACTTCCAGCATTCATTATCAAAAATTAACTTGACTGTTCTATTTTAATTCATATTTCGCTTAAATAATATTAAGTGTTATTTGCCAAATTCCCTTAAATATCTTTTTTTTTCTATAAACCTTATTTTGTTTAGTTATAATAAAAAAGCTGGATGCTTTGAAAAATTGTTTAACTTTCTAGATAGAAAAGTACTTCTATCTTCATTTACTTCCTTTTTTTTAATTATTTTGTGATGATTATTTTCAACTTACTTTCATAAACAAAAGAAAAAGGAATTTTTCTTTACATGTCCTCTAATTCTCACCTATTTTTTTTTCTCGTTCATCAATATTTCGCCTTTGTTATTTTTCCCTTGTTTTTTTTAATGATTAGTTTATTTGTGTAAGAATTTATTTTTACGGATTAACTAACACTTAACTTAAGGTATTTATTTCTTCGGCGTATTCCTTGGCCGTTTTCTTTCAAATTACTTCAATGATATTTTTGCTTACTTGGTATGAATACATATATATTGTGAATAAATTGTTCTGTAATTTTCATTGACTAAGCTTTACCAAAGACTAACATACTTTGGGATAACTGACGAGGATATTATTTCTATTCATTGTTTAAAGATTTTCTGAATAAAATAACCATTATTTATTCTTTAACTAAACCCACTGTCTATATTTTGTAAATATTTTCTACTGATAGAACTCCAACTGTGCAACTGATATGGCTGTCATCTATAATAAAATGATTAGTGTGAAATGTTAGTCTAGCCTTTATTTCTTAAAATCCTCTTTCAGTTGAACATGACATAACACTTAAAAACTTGATAGTAACAACTCCTTGAATCACTGAAATGAATGATTTCTATCTGCAAAAATAAATAACAGTCAATAAAACCAATCTGAACAACACGTTCTCCTGCTTGGAGTTAAAATAAAAATCAATATAAAGGATTAATTGTCAACAGCTACGGTAAAACTCTATTTATTTAAGAAGTATACAAAGACCAGAGAACGTTTAAACCACGTACTGTTTTAGGTGGTGGAATATGGTTGACGCTGGTATCCAAAATGCGCGTTTGGGACTTGTCAGTTGGGTGTAGACCTACATCAGAAATACCATCAAGGAGATATTCCAATTCAATTTAAGTTAGGTTCAGCCCTAATTATTTTGTTTATACTTGGCTAGCTAAGTTGATGTGAATAGTTGATTACCCATGTTGTAAGGCTGAATAAGCCCATTACTGATAATCGAAAATATAGATTATTTGCTTGGGATTATTTAACAATCAATTAAATTAAGTTACTCATAAAGCACCCGCTTATATCAGTATGAATTGCTTCATTCATTAATGACATGTTTTCTTTCATATTATTTCAGACATTAACACATCTACGTTTTGTTTCACATATTGTTGTTGGATTATTAATCGGTGTTTTATATTTTCGTATTGGTAATTTGGGTTATGAAGTGATAAGTAATGCAGCATTTGTATTCTTTACTTTGTTATTTCTTATGTTCGCTTCATTGATGCCAACTGTGATGACCTGTAAGTCTTAATTGATTATTTCTGATCTTTTCAGATAATGTCATGTTACATAATGAATTCAAGCTAAGTCATCGATTTCCGAATAAAGATTTTCGGATTTTACTATTGTTACAACATGATCTAAGTTAAACAGTCACTGAATACTGAAGGGCACTGATAAGGTATTTCGTCTTACTGAAAACATTTCAATAGTGTGAGTCCATAACAACACCAGGGGCCGAAACCAGAATATTCTGTCTCATATGTGAATGAATAACCTCCAGATAGCTGATTTGGAACCCACTGGTTGATCTACCTAAATTTAGTCAATCGGAGACAACGAAATATAGTCACGCTGTATTGCGAACTATCGGTCAAGAAATAACATAGTTTCAAGATTACTATAAAGGACTATTAGGACATGGAAAATACTTGATAAATTTGTTTTTAAAGTATAATTAAGGGATATAAAATATATATGTAAAATACAATTTATGTTAATTCATACAAATAATTTCGATAAAATCTAAATTAAGCTACCAGAAATAATTTCTCTTTCAGTTAGTTAATAGCAATCATAAAAGCTTAATTTATATCAACTACTGAGTTGATGCTTAAGTGCATTAAAAGAGCCCGATGACATTTGTTACTTTTTAGGTCATTAAGTTGGATGACTTATGTATTTAGTAAAAGTTTACTTCACTGATAAAAAAAGGATAGTCAAATAAAATGTAGGGGATTTTTCGAATGCAAAGAGTTGATAATTGGTTTAAATGTAACGTGTGTTAACGAATCAGTGAAAGTCATCGATCGCTTGATGGATATCGATTTCTTTTACGTGAGAGAATCTAAGTTTTTAAATTTGTGCAATCGATACTATACTACTAAACTGTTGAGTTGGAATCTGTTTTTTGACTAATGTCTGTTTGAAATAAACATTCACTTTCCAATTATAAGGAAGCACATCTCTGAAGGTCATTTTGATGATTTGGGTAAATTCAACACACAAAAACTCCCTTGAAAGAAATAAGTTACATACATAACTGTAGATTATTTTCCAAGTAGAAAGTTTCTTAAAATCATCTTTCCTAGTGAATGTTAGATAATGAACTAGATAGCAGTAGCTGAAAAAAAACTGATTCGAATTTTTCGGAAATCGTTATTAACAAACATTTAGACATCAATTCATTATTCAAGTGTTTTCATCCAAGGATCAAGCACATAAAGAACTTTAAGGTCAAAGATAAAGTTTACTAAACTTACATTCAAAAATTAAATAGAATTATTGACATTATAATGTGAAGAAAAGTGAAGTAACATTCAATTTCCTGATTGATTAGTTATTTGTTATCTTTTATTATCATAAATGAATAACAGAAGTTTTTCATTTAATTGGACAGCTGTTCCACATTCCGAAAACAGTTCTATTTGAACTTTGGGATTACAGTAAATTCTTATCTGTCTTATCTCATTCATACAAATAGTGTTACCTCACCATTGATTTCATTAGCAAACGGTCATTTATAAATGACATAGAATCTGTCACAAATATCCATCGATTGCAGTTCCCGTACCACTTTAGAACAATCTGATAATATTATGTAGATTAATCCCCGAGAAGTAGATGAAGAAAATGGTGAACTATTTTGAAATTATTCAAATCATGACAGTAATTAAACATCAGAAACCATGATTCCTCATTAAAACTTCCCAACTAAGATTATGCAAACAGCAAGTATGAAATTTATCTTCATTGTTTCAATAACAAATAAGATCTTTATATGATTTGTATTTTAATAAATCATTGTGAAAAAAAACTAATGGTTCATGAACAGTGTTATAGAATATTCAAACCAATTAAATAAGCACTAGTTTTGCCGGTAATTTCAAACTTAACTAATTTTCCCTAATGCTATAAGTAAATAAAACACTGACATTTTGACTATAGTGCGTTGGTTCATTCTTATACTGAGATATGTAAATTTTATTAAGTATGGACAACATTTTGACTAGCCAGCTTAGTAATAGAAACCTACACATCAATATAAATAGTGAATAACATCAAGATAACTATCAAACAATCCATATTTTTATTCTTATCTTACGAGATTTAGTTAATGTTCGATTATGATGAGTAGTTTTAGTGGAACTTAAAATAACGTCTTTTTGTAAAGAAAACAACTTTTGCTAGCTTAACGATTACACCCAGTAATTTTTTTTGATAAAATTCTTTTCCCAGTTCCACTTGAAATATCAATATTCTTCCGTGAACATCTAAACTCATGGTACAGTTTAAAAGCTTATTATATGGCAAAATCATTAGCTGATGTACCATTCCAAGTAAGTTTTAATTGTTTGTATATTTAAAGCTTGTAAATGATACGTTAAAACTTTTCATCACGTTTTCTCCTCTTAATTTAGCATTTTTTATTTCTCCGAATGAGCCTAGTATTATTGCCCTTCATACTTGATTCGTGAAACACATTACTGCATTCAAGTTCAGTGACTGAATAATCATGCTCAGCTTTCATTTGGTTTTGACTTACAAAAGAGATTCAGTAATAAATCACTACTGCCAAGTTAAATAACAGAAACCGTAGTAGAAAAACAGGACACTGGTTATTGTCTATTGATTATATAGTAAAGAATAATGGTTTTAGATTTATGTGAAAATAGCATAGACTGTACACAATTGCATACGTGTTATTATTCAGTTCCCCCTCAGAATAATAAAAAAAATTTAGGTTTCTTGGCTATATTTTGATGAAAATGTAATTTTCATTAAATTATTAGATAACTTTAATGCGTGCACAATCAAAGTAACGCGATAATTGAAACACGAAGCTTATAAAAGCGTAGACTTAAAATTTTTAAATATTGATTCGAAAAACTGACATGCAAGTATTTGGGTATTATGTGTAACAATATACTAACAGCTATGTAAGTTTCTGATTATTAAAGACACTACTAAAATGAGACTTATTTTATCTTTTTGTAACTCGACAGAATAAAACTGAAAAAATCATAGAGTTCTTAGAAAATCATTTAGCAATGTTGTTTCTCCCTCACTTTATATATTGTCGAGACCACTCATAAACCAAATTAATCTGAAATAGTGTCCAGCTGTCATACATATTAAAATGTTCCAAAATATTCAGTGAATAAATAAATTCTGCAGGCCTTTTTTCATTACTCACTATAAATATACTTGATTTCCAATTGACTGATCGCTGATTGGTGACCAATGTTATGCTTATCTAATCCCTTAGAGCTGATCGATTTCTATCGATCGTGTTATACTGTGACTACTATTCTGAGTGACTCAACATTGCTTGCAATAACAAAACGTTATTTGTCTTTAATTTTGAGTCACTCAAACTAATATCCACATTTCAACTCAAATAACGAGATACTCTCAGAAATAAGGGATTAAACGAACACTACATTGATCGTTAGGCAACAGCATTCACACCCTACAGAAGAATATCAGTTGTGGCTAGAATAGTTTAGTGGTAACGTTTCAAGTTGTGAAGCGTCGTAGAGTAGATTCGAATCCTAAAAAATGGCACTATTCCCCTAACTATTGCATTTACTCCCTGATAATGAGTACCAGCAAGTAGAAAACCTTAATCCAAGGTTTCTTGCCGACTTCTTTCAACCACCTAACTGGTATAAAATCATTTATTTTAAACGTTTAAATTTTTTATACTTTTTTTTTAGTTACTGAATACTTTTGTAAAGAATATCTTACTTTAGTAATACTTTAATTTCTTTTTTTATTTGATCATTACTAGATATTTTTCCCGATTGTTTATGCTAGTATTACATATTGGATGACTGAACAACCAAATGATACTTCAAGATTTATTCAATTTCTTATCATATCAGTTCAAACATCATTAGTTGGTCAATCATTAGGTCTTGTCATTGGTACAGCTACTTCATTACAGGTTAGTGAAATGAAAACAGTTGTGATTTGCACTGTCCAAGATTTGATACTGATACTCTGTCTCCCTACACAGTAAACCCAACCAGCTACCTGAGGGATAAAAACATTGTCAGAACGGAAGCTTAGCTTATCTGACTGACTGAATCCGCCTCTATCAATACTCCTAAACTAGTACTACATATTGGATAATGAAAAATACCAAATGATGCATTGAAGTTTATTCAGTTTTTCAGTATATCAGATCAAACATCTTTAGTTGGTTTATCATTAGATCTTGTCCTTTATACAGCAGCTTCATCGCAAGTCATCATATTTCCTTAGAAAACCAAGCCACCAGTAGTTTATGTCTCCTAGCTGGGAAATGTAAGCTATTTCTCGGCTGATCGCATGCACTTGTCATTTGACTTATTTCTATAAAAAATACTTACCGAAAATTTGTGTATGTTCTACGGAGCTTTAAACTGCAAAATTGCCACTGACCTTTTCATCAAAGAAAATATTTTACAAATATATGATTAATCTTATTTGGTTGATCAACATTTAACAACAATAACCCAGGGACCGCTTCAGTGTTTATTTATCAATTTAAAAGTCCCTATGGAACTAAGTACATGGGTATGTCAACGAAAATCCTTTCGAACACGATCCAAGAAACTTATCTTGAATGGTTGAGTAGATGAGGAAATAAGTTCATAAACATCTCTAAAGTTGATTGTTTTGTACTGGCGAGTTATTCTATCAAATTTTCAAAACTTTAGAATCTGCCTACAAGGTTAACAGAAATTTACCAAGAAACACCATGCTTCCATATTTTTAGAGTTGATGAAGCTTTCGACATAAATTAAAATAAATCCTGAACTGTAAGTACAGAAGAAACTTATTTCATCTCATCTTATATCATGGTCATGATACCTTAATTTTTCAAAATTATCACCTTTTACTTACCTTCTCCATTGACTAATTCTGTTTCACAACCATTTCGATTTCATTATTTTATCTTATGTTATGCAACCGTTTTTCATGATAATGTTTCCTTATCTAACGTCTCTGATAATGGTGATGAATATTATTTTAACAAACTGTTAGGATATTCATCCAATATCCTAAGATAATTGTTTGTAAGTCTAATTCTGTTTGTCAATTCCTATTGGTCGTCCTGACTATCGGTGTCACTTCCAATGTTGTTTCCCGTTTGTCGTCCTAACTGTCCGTGTCACAGACTTCATTGTTGTTTTCTATCCGACCTAAGTGTATAAATACGCATTATCTTTAACGTTTTATGAGCCGGACCTGGATCCTTCGTCCGGGATCCTGATTCTCTTCTGGACTCGAACCTCGTACTTTCTGGATGCTTGTAGAATACATGTTCCACTTCATATCAAGTCTTCTTCTTTTACTCAATGGGGGTTGGGACACTCGGATTAGAGTAGCCTGTTGTGTCGGCCTATCCTCGCTCTCGTTTTCCGACTAAGTTAAACTAGTAATGTGTTTCAAGCATATAAAAATGGCGTGTTTACGTGCATGCGTAACACAAACACATTTACAACTACTTTTAATAAGTGTGACATTTTCCTTATGATTTTGTTAATTGTACTGAATGAAATACTATTTTAAACAAACATATAATTTATTATTGTAGTGAAATAAATAGTTTAACTTGCTATAAAACATTTTTTGAGAATGAATTCATGAAAAATGAATTTCTTCACCCTAACTAACACCTTTTCTTGTTATTTTTTTTGTTTGCATCTCAGTTGGGTGTATTACATTTACCACCAATTATAATTATTATTTTCAATGTATTGTGGTATTCGTTTGAACTGCAAAGAATGTACACGCAAAATGATTAAAATTTTTCAGATCAAGATTTTTTATATTTTTCAAAAGAATTGAACTTGACCTATTTTTTTTTTTTTGTTTTTGGTTGTCCTTAAAAAGTTAACTTCATATATATATAAATATTAAGAAATAATGTAAGAAAATCCATTAACATTGATGAAATAACACAAGTATCAATAGAATGCGGTTGTTCAGAATTATTTTCAATGAAGTCTGTATTCATTCAATAATAATGAACTTTTAATAATAATAATAATAAACAAAATGTGAATATTATCAAATTTCGAAAATGATAATTCACAAAACAGATTCAACTTACTCACAATTCAAACAAAAAAAGTGTTAGGTTGTTTGACATTTGAAAATCCTTTGTTGTAGATTCAATTATAAACCTAGTTGATTGGTTAGATTTTCTATTCTACACTCATAAATCTTAGATATGATCCACAATGTCTTATTGTCATTTGATATAATGACATTATCAGCTTGATGATATGTTTTTCGCATATTGAAATCATCAATCACTCATTGTTAGACTACCATTAGAAACCTGGAAGCATTGGACGGCAGTTTCGTCTTGGTATGGAACTCATCAGCAGTGCGCATCCACGACTCTTGCACCTCGTAGGATTCGAACCCAGGACCTTCGGTACATATATATATACTTTTTCCATTGAGCCTTTGGATTTTTAAATTTTTATTTAGTTCTTAAGTTCAATTATGCAATTATAATTCAATGCCACAAGTTCATTAGCATGAAATCAATATTATGCTTATGTGCTGATAACACAGGTGGATAGAAATTCTATCGTTACCTGAGATGAATTATACATTTGAATTAATTATTCATAAATCCTCTGTTTTTGTTTGTTTCAAATTCATATCTTAACTTTAATTATTATTGAATAAATCAATGTAAATTATTGCGACGACCCTGTGTGTTATAGGAAAACAACTGTTAGCTTTATTCTATCATTGCTAAATAAAATTTTCACAGATTGTTAAAATACAAGAAGTTTTTGTGGATTCACTTACAACTAGTGTCATGTGTGCGTGTAATAGTGAAAATTACACGCCGAAATGAAGCTACTGTCCATTAACAACATAAATTTCAATGGTTGTCTAGTTGAGATTAGTTCACGCTGCAAACTATCTTGTAACAGTTTAATCTATTTAAGTCTGATTCACGGCCGAAATAGGTAAAAATTTTTTTTAGTCCAAATCACCTTCACTCAACATTCTACAGATAAAAAATTTATGTCATTTCATTACACTTAATGAAAATATTATGCCCTATGTTTTTCTACTTTAGAATGAGCAAAACAGGGCGTAAACCATTGTAATGAGTCCTGTTATGTCTAGCTCACAGGGCTTCTCCTAGCTTTTGGACAAATTAATTAGCCCACTTGTCTTTATACCTCGTCATTCTTTCATATCTGCGTTGCTTATATTCGTATGTGTTCACACCTATCTCGTTTATTACATGTCTGGCCTATTTTTTCGTCTGACTATAAATTCTTAATCATGCTTAATCTAAGGGAGTTGGCTATCTCGCCTTCTCCACTTCAATTCACTCCACTTCGCTTCACTTTACTTGTATGCTTTTCGTTATCATGTCTGCATAAACGATTGTCTGAAATAAACTCATCCAACCGAATCCGTATTTGGCTTCTAATTACTGCCGTTACACAAACGGGTTCACTTATGTATGGTATATGGAAACTGATGAGGAGATTTATTTCATAGCATATATAAATGTTCATCAGTATTGGATCGTAGGCCACCAAAGTAGTGAGCCCTACATTGAATCGAATACCGTAACACTTACTTACTTCCTTTCTTAGCAAGTATAAATGAAAGATCTATGCTTTTCACATTCAATTTATGACAAAAAAAGTTACTAATCAGAAATTAATTAAAACTCAATTTGATTTTTTTTCAATATCTCTCAAGGTTTCAATGGTATTGATTAAAACAATAGTCATTTTATTTCCTAATTGTTGAAAAATAAACGCCCTACCGTGATTTCGTACCAAACTTCTTGTCTGTTAGTACAGCAAAACCTACTGATTTTTATAACTGACTAATCACTGACTAGCGACCGATGTGCCTCAGCTCATTAGTAAAGTTTTCGCTTGTGAAGTTGGGTGATACAGTACCGAATCCACCAGGGATTATCAGTTCCCTGAAGATTACAAGTATACCTTACTGGCGGGCGCTAAATAGCACAAAACTGTGGTACAGGGTTTCTTGTCGACTAACTCCAACGACGACTTCACAGACTATTGATTTCCCCAATTAGATTTTATATTTAAGTAAACTATGAAATAAGTAACAACGATTTAAAAATTTCACTGATAACCTGAATAGACTATTTATATCAAGTTGTTTAGAGGCTTTAAATTGAACATTTGAAAGAAAATGAAACAAAGTATTGAAAAGTTTCCTTCTGTTGATCATTCTAGTTGCAGAAAAACTTTATTCTTTCTGTCATATTCGTTCTAACGCTTCCATGTAGGTTTACTAGAAACACCTTGGTTGAAAATGATACCGTCTAGTTCTTCCAGGTTTCTAGTTGTGGTCTAACATTGATCGATTCGTGATTTCATATGTGTAACTTGACAATCTTCACCATTCCGTAGTGCAATTACTTGTGCTCACTAGTGACTAGCTCCGTAAAGATTCTTCTCCGACATCTAATGGGAAGTTGTGATCAATGATGTTCCATCTGTTCAGGTTAAGACAGTAACTACCGACGACAGTGTATGAGGTTGCGCAAGAACGTGAATTGATCGATGTTAGACATTAACACCGTTAAAAAGCCGCTCAGTGGTCCAGAGACTAGGCGTTCGAGCGCAAGACCGAAGGTACTGTGTTCGAATCTTGTGAGGTTCAGGAGTCTTGGATGCGCACTGCTGAGTCCCATACCAGGACCAAATGGCCGTCCAGTGCTCCCAGGTTTCTAATGGCGGTCTAACACTCGTCGAATCATGATGTCAAACCTATACTAATTATCAAAAATAAAACCTCAGCAAATCTAATATTGTAAATTTGTATTAATCTGACGGTAACTTTTTTAATTATTCGACTTTTACAATGTTGTACAATACAGTACTGAACATGCTTTCATGTTTTAAACCTACATACAGTGAAGTATTCAAATTATGTTTGTTTGACTATTTGAAAACTTTCTTTCAATGTGAAGTTTTATCAATCGATACAGGTATAACTTTGCATTTTGAATTCATCAATTAAAGTGCATGTTTACCCTGGTGTTGGTTTTTATACTTTAACACTTGAACTTTTTTACTTATCATTTTGTACTAAACTTGATCAAAGCTATTCCTGAATACAGAAGTCACAAATTTCACTCTATGCAAGAAATAATTTTAATATATCAATCTATAGTAGAATTTTTAAAATAGTTCAGTATCTTGAATGATTACTTACTTACGCCTGTTACCCCCAATGGAGCATAGGCCGCCCACCAGTTTTCTCCAACCAACTCTGTCCTGGGCTTCTTTCTCCAGTTCTGTCCAATTTTTGTTCATTCCTCTCATATCTTTCTCTATTTCTCGGCGTAATGTATTCCTTGGCCTTCCTCTTTTCCTTTTGCCATGAGGGTTCCATGTGAGGACTTGTCTTGTGACACAGTTTGGTGCTTTTCGTAGTGTGTGTCCTATCCACTTCCACCGCTTCTTCCTGATTTCCTCCTACACTGGAATCTGGTTTATTCTATCCCACAGTTCGTTGTTGCTGATGGTATCTGGCCAACGAATCCAAAGTATTTTGCGTAGACAACTGTTAATAAACACTTGTATCTTCTGAATGATGGCTTTGGTAGTTCTCCATGTTTCCTCTCCATACAGTAGAACTGTCTTGACATTTGTATTGAAAATCCTGATTTTGGTTTTTGTTGAAAGTTGTTTGGAGTTCCAGATGTTTTTCAATTGTAGAAATGCAGCCCTTGCTTTGCCAATCCATGCCATCTTGAATGATCCATCAATATAAATGAAAATTTTCGTACCAAAAAGGAAACAGTACATTTTCATATCTAACCTACAATTATGCTGGAACTAATTATTTTTAGTTTGATAATCAATAAAATAAAAAAACAAAATTGATATACACATATTGCATGATTTGATTTCTTTGACCAGAAATCTTTTCTTTTCCTTTTTCTAATTTTATTTTACATAGGTTGCTGTATTTTTAGGACCTGTAACAGGTATTCCAATATTATTATTCTCTGGATTTTTTCTCAATTTATACGCTATACCAAAGTATTTACAATGGATTTCATTCTTATCATTTACACGATATTCATTTTCAGGTGCACTTAAAGTAAGTGTTAATGTAACAATTTTTCATTTTTATTTTTTTTTAATGTATTTTGTATATTGTCATTCCATTTATATAGAGATAAATGATGCATTCATTAATCTTTTTCTTTTTTTTGGAATAGATTTAGTTACAATAAACATTGATTTGCTTATATTCATTACTTGTTCATTAGAAAATATAATTGGATTAAGCATATGGTTGCAAATTATTTTTAAATTGAATGTGACCAAACTATGTCTTTGTATACTACTCAACATGCATATTCATCATATCTCAGAGGATGATGATGATGATGATGATAACGCAGCATAATTCAGTAGTTATGGTATTTTCATTCACATTTATTATCATTTATATTTCATACCGAAATGAGGAAGTCACATTAGTGTTATTTTGTTTTGTCTATAATTTGAGTAGTATACTAAAATCATCACAGTGTAAAATCACTTTATGTCTAGAAGAAATTCAAGTATCTTGAAATTGACTTACAGACTGACATAATTAAGGAGTTTAAGGCAACAGTTTCACTCTTTCAGACTCTTGTTCATAAAACCATATAATGCATAGTGACAGTGATTTCAAACATTGTGCAGAGGAAAATGGTAAAATTTTGGTCAAAAAACCTCTTTATTGTCATTTCTAGACTAAATCACTCTTACTTTGTTGCATCAAAAGTATCATTGAGGCAGTTACAGCATGAATTTTTTTTTAGTTCAAAGAAAGTAATCACTTGTCTATTGACCTGCTCAGCTACAAAACTTCTTGATCAACTTTAGATTAGCACTGACTTATTCATCATATTTGAATCGAGAAATAAGAAAACATATTTTCTGAGATAGTACCCTTTCATGCTTTCTCGTCAGTCACATACAAGCAACATGTTATTCGTGTAAATACAGTTTTGAAGATAAGGTCAAAATTTCTTATTTAGCATGACATTCACTCACTAGAACCATGGTAAACAAAGGTCAACATACAGTTGTTTTTGAACACATAAAGTTGGACATTTCCGACCAATCAAGATAGCTTGGAGTAGTTTCAGTGTGTGTGGGTTTTGATGACATGTCACAACTCTAAAGGCTGATTTTGGGTCAATTTGATGACCACTCATCATTAGATGTTTTGCAATGGACGAGGCTGGGTTTCTTGATCGATTTTGAGATGATGGGCTAGGTTGATGAATCATGGATTGGATTAGCCATTTTGGAATATGTTCCCCTATCCTGTCTTCCAATCGGCGATCTGTCCTCCCTAAGTAACTTTCTCCGCAGTTACATATGAATTGGTAAATACAGTGGGATTTGGACTGAATCGGTCTTGGAGACTTGATTGGGGTAACTGGGATCGATTGGGTTGTTGTGATAAGAATTGCAAAATTTAATTTTTAAGGAAACGAGAAAAAATATCATGCTTCTATCATGGGTATTATCGATCACACGGTGAAGAACATTGTAACTGTAACACTTACCATACAACTGTTATTTTTTTCATAATATGAATATTGAATGCTGTAAATATACATTCAGACTACTAACAGTTTAATCTCTTTATTTTTTTTTGCTTAGATTATCTATGGAAACAATCGAACAGATCTTGATTGTGATCGTAAACGAATGACTAAAATGAGTTATCCTTGTCTTGGTAAACCTACAATGATATTTCAAGCATTAAATATTCCAGATTATAATGTTTCTGTTGATTTCGGTGTATTATGCATCTTTTTTTTATTTTTACGAATACTTGGCTATTATATTCTTCGATGGCGTGTACGTCGTCGACGTTAATCATAATACAATAAAAAAAAATATCTCTCTTCCAAATATATAATTCATATACTAACAGAATATTGTACACAATAAATTTCCTCGAAATTTTCATTCTTCCTTACACATTTTTACTTCAGTGTATCTATCTGTATGTGAGTGGCTAAAACATGTCATATATATAAATATATTCTTTACCTCTTATTCTTAGGAGATTTCATTTTTCTTCAGGTTGTATTTACTCATCTGTTCCTCATGTTGATCAGGTTAGATAAGACAATATGAATTTAATTAAACATGATTGGTGAGTTTGAAAATGTGAATGGAATTTTGTCATTGGTTATTATTATTATTGCATTTCATGCCAGTCAATCAATATTGTTTTCTTTGATTGTAAACTACTCTTATTGGCATTTTTTTGTTTACTACTATTGTTCAAATTAATTGTGTTTTGTTTTTTTTTTCTATATATATAAAAGGCAAATGAACTTTTCCAACTGAGTTTTACTTAACAGATTAATGTTATTTTTTCTTCAATAATCCATATTCCATGATTGAAATGAATTATATTTATTTGAGTTTTGATTGAATTTAGTGCTGAATCAATCTTCGCTTATTGTATTATGTTATCATTAAATGAAAATAAATGCTCTTTTCCAATCATCACTATGTGCATTCATAGTGATATTGATTTTTATTTTCTTCTCTCCTTCTCATATGTTGACTAATTTTATCAATGTCAATGATTGAATTTTTCATTTTAATCATCAAGTCGAGCAATGAATTATTATTTGCAATTATGATCCCCAATTGTTTATTTACTCCTCTTTCATTTTCATCAAATGAAAGATTATTCTGTGAATAATACTGATATTCCTTTTTTCATTTTATCTCAATTTCTATTAGGTAAAATGAAATGTTTGTTTTTTTTTCCCGCTTGTCTGGCTGCCATCTTGATTTTATTCTTCTCTATACTATCAATCATTTTGTTTAATATTTCATCATTTCCTCATGTATATTTATGTAGACAAGAGTTTACAATTGATTATTATGAATTGTATTAAATTTAATATACAACATGCTTTAAGTGATTATTGTAATTTAATATGTGAATTATTGATAGAATAATGAGAATGAGTATATTTATTGTATTGTCTGTGATGAGTTACAATATTTCTACGTATGAATATTGATTGAGTGAACTATATTTCACTGAAATTATGTTACTTAGTATAGGAAAAACAGTAAGAAAGTCAGTTGATTGCCTACTACCTCTAGATTTCATTTGTTCAACAACCAATCAATATTAAATCAGTGATGTTGAATTATCTTACTCACTGATAGGTTAGATTAATACAATAATAATCAAAATTTAGGAGTAAGTTTTAAACGTATGACTAAATAAAAACACGTGTATTAATTGCATAGATGAACGATGAATGGAAGTGGAACCCAGTGCACACGTTTCGTCCTATTTGAGTACTCACCAACCAGATGTACTTGCATCTCAGAGTTAATGCCGATCCTGGAACTCGAATCCAGCACCGTCTGCTTCAAAAGTCGTTGCGTTATCTAGTTAGCTGCTGAGCACAGATAGCTACTGCTTTATGCAGCGAGGTGAAGTTTAATTCGTTTGTATTGGTTATTTGTGTCTTAAAATTGATGTCTATCACTGCAGTTTATCAATCACTTTGGAACATGTGTGTCTTGTGCGGACTTCCCCTGTAATGCCGTTAAGTGATATGTTGGCATTTGAACTGAACGATAATGGGATCGAATCTCAGAGGGAGCATCAACTTTGGGATTCAAGTACATCTGTCTGGTGGGTACCCAAGTAAGAAGAGATGCACGCTTCGGATTCCACTGCTAGCCACCATCCATCTATGTTAATTATGCTTGTTACTTAATAAAAATACCGAGACATTTTTCAAAGCTACAGATTAATCACAATCTTAAACATCAATAAGATAATTTAAATAATTAATACAAATAAATTTAACAAATTGTTGGTTCATAATTAAATAAAGTTACTATGTGTTTGCCTGATTTTGTGCATTATTTCTACATAACAGATTCCATTGATAATATTAAGGAAAGTTTGCAACATTTTTAGGTATTTAATGAAAGCTAAATTAGTCAATTTCTATCTTTCATTTAATTATTTGACAAGTTCTCTCCTACTACTTCTAAGTCTAAATTCAGTTTCGTTTACGTTGACAGTATCTATAAAAAGCTGCTTACAAATCACTCAGTACATATATATATATATATCAGTCAGTCAGATGCAACGTAGAACTTTGTACATAAGTACGTCAGTTCATGTTGCCATACCACATCAGCAAAGAGAAGTAATCCTCAATTCAAATCCAATAGTAGAAGAGGTAGTAAGGGTATTAGGAGTAATCGGAGAGGTTAGGATTAGAAGATACTATGCAAGAAGTATGATTCAGTGAGAAAAGTTTAGAGAGTCGAAACTAGAGTGGTTGAAGAACTCAGAAGATTAGGATTTGAGGGAACACAAAGAATAAATGCACCGGCGCCATTGCGAACGATTTTGAGCCATGTCATTCAAGGTCTCTAACCATCGATTATTATCATCTCGCGGACCCCAACCAGGTAGTCGACAATTACCGACATGGCTAAGTCCACTAGTCAATGACTTCATGGATTTCTGCCATGTTTTGGTTTGGCCGCCCCTAGCTTTCTTCCAACCTACTCCTACACTACAAAACAAGGCTCGTCGAGGCAGTCGGTGGTTCGGCATACGCAAGACATGTCCCAACCTCCAATCGACCTGCCTGGCATCGTAGGACCTGCAGGAACATATGTTCCAGCCAGTATAGCTCGGTTGGGTCATCACGATAGGCAAGCCCGACCACCACGTCAAGGTAGCAGCTTCGGTCGGGTATATATATATATATATATATACATCCTATAAAAATCCCTAGAAAGATTGTATGCTTGTTCTTTCCTAATCATATCATCATTTGCAAAGTTAAATGAAATTAAATTAAATTATGCTAACTAAAATAGCATATTGTGGGCAGCTGCAACTTGTTACCTTTCACTGAATAAACTTATCAGCATAATCCTATATATATATATATACATAACAATGATCGAAATCATAAAATCTGTTTTGAATAGCGTTAAATGAATAGTCACATGTATGGTGGTGTACATCAAAGTCAACAAGCGATTCAATCTAATTTTTACTATTCCCATCATATAGTTTATAAAATGAATGGTCAAAAAAATATATTATAACCACTTTATTATATTTTTCGAAAAAAATCACGCCACTAAGTTGTACTATAGCAAGAAATCGTACGAATAATATCAGCTGTATGGATCAATTATTTGCACTACAGTGAGATGTTTGACCTTTTTAATAAAAAATGTATATATTTTTTTAAATGACAGGAAAGATTGAATCCTGATTTGCATGGCATGAAGTGGTCGTTTGTTTAACCGCTGAATAAATACCATAGACCAAGATAGTGATGCTATAAACTGCCCAATCAGCTACTCATGTTGAGAAACTATGTGGCAAAGTTTACCAGGAAATCCAGTCAACGGAATAATGACTATCACCCCTAGTTGTCTATGAAAATTCAAGAAAAATCAGTGTACATGTTTTTACTGTGTTTGGTTGCATTTTTTAGTCAGAGAAAATGTAACAGACAATCTTAACATTCGTCTCTACCTGGTTTACTTTTTTATTTTTCTTAAACACTTCTTATCTACACATTGAAATCATCAATCAATCATCGTCAGACCACCATTAGAAACCTGGAAGCACTGAACTACTGTTTCCTCCTGCTAACGCACTAACCAGCAGTGCTTATCCACGATTCATGAATCCCGCAGGATTCGAACCCGGCACCTTCAGTTTAGCACGCGAACTATAGTTGCTCTTATGTTTTTTCTTCTTTTCACACAAATATAATTATGTAATATAGCGAGACCCAAGGAATAATCACATTATGACAATCATTTCATGACATCAATCACTGAAATTTATATTCATAAACAGGATTTCTTCAGCTATATTAGCTAGAACCTAACTAATATTACGTAGTTTCCATCCCCATATTCGATCAAATCACAGTTCATTTATTGTAAGGCTAAATGAACTCAATCACTTCATTAAGACAACCGGAATGTAATTAATTAGTTCTTATGATTAATGAAACACTTACTTCATAATATATTCGCACAAATAAATTAAATTACCTTTGTTATGTATTCTAATATTCAAGAAAATCCTATTTGTCATTAAACACAGTGCAAATGATTGTATTGGGTTTAATTTTCGCCTATTGATATAATTAATTGTTGAATTCAAGCTTAATCTCCACGAAATTCTATAATGAAGAACAAAAGAGTAGGATTAAATTGAATGACCCATTTATTCAGTTGAGATGAAAAATTGTGCTAATAAATAAGAGTAGCTGATTGAATTAACATCGTACACTTAACCATGATTCAAATTTTAACCGACTGATTCACTCAACAATCACACTTATGAAATAAAATTACCAGTTACAAAACTTCCATGTTCATTATTTCACTACTGCATATTGTGACTGGATGTTTAAGCCAAAAAAAAAATAATTCACGTGTTCATTCACATTAATCTATTTTTCGGAAATCAATTATTTCATTTATCAATTAATCCTAATCTGACCTGATGACCTTATGAACAAAAGTACTTTAAATGTTGATATCCTGTGTTAGATTCACATATATATAAGACAAGTGTTGATCAAGGTTTTGAAACCATATAAAGTATTTTTCTGTAAATCAGACTGTTTCATACACATAGAATATCGGCCTAGATTTTCTATCAGAATTTACCAAATTTTGAGATCTGATAGACGACTAAAGTAAATTTACTTGTTATTCATACATAGGAGGGTATTTTAATCACACTGTAAACCAAGTGTATAGCACATAGTCTTACCGCTTAACAGACGAAAGATGTAATTTTGAATAAAATCTGTCGCAAACGTAAGATAGTCTATATCATATAACTAAACAATACATTTGAAATCATCAATCAGTCATTGTTAGACCACCATTAGAAACCTGTGGTCCGATGGTTAGGCGTTCGCGCACAATACCGAAGGTCCCGGGTTCGAATCCTGCAAGACACAGGAGTCGTGGATGCGCACTACTGATGAGTCCCATACCAGGACGAAACGGCCGTCCAGTGCTTCCAGGTTTCTAATGGTGGTCTAACAATGATTGATTGATGATTTCAAATGTGTAAAAACACAAACCTCCAGAATTCTGCCCGAAAAAGCTTAACAATAGTTATGATCCTAAGTGACATAATCCTCACGTTATGACTATTATCGACATCTAAACAGAATGATGATTACAAATTCTTCAAACTAGGCTCTTATTTTTAAAAAGTACTCAGTACATTCAAAAGATAGCAAAATTAAAGCTAACTCTAAAACAACCATTTACTCAAAAAGAATAAACTTTATTATATATATATATATATATATATATATATATATATATAGGACAAATGATTTTTAACTCAAAGACAGTAGGAATCATTCAGTCACCTAAATAAACATGTGTAGTAGTCAGAGTTTCTCTATAGTTAATGTTAATAATATTGATTGACCAGTTTCTGGTTAGACTTGTACTTTCTGCGATTATACATCGAACGTTCAAAGAGGACACAAACAAAGACAAGAACTGATCAATAACAGTAATAAACAATCGCGTCAAAATGATTTAAGCATGTATAAGTGTCAAGAAGTACTGTGAAATTCAAACGTGAAGTTACAATCAAATGTAAATATTCAAGATTCTTGTATTATTTACATGCCCGATTTTAACACTCATCAAACATTTATAAAAGCCTTTCCATACATCATAACTCATGGTTACTTCAAATTTAGTACACATGATCCAACACTAACTGAGTTGAAAACGATAAGTGAAGATAACAGTAGGGTATTAGAGTTTGTCGTAAAGTTGCAACCCTTAACTGTATTTAAAAACAAGATTTAAGGCTGAACTAACTTTAATAACTTCTTTTCTTAATTTAGAAATATTCATTTGTTGTATAAATAGTATTTAATGCATGTGACTTGTTGTAGCCTTTGTGGGGG